TCTTTCCCCTTTTTTTCCCTTTTTTGCTGGGATTTTTTTTTTTTTTTTTTTTGGGGGGGGGTTGCTTGTTTTTTTCCCCTACTAGCAATAAAATAAAATTTGTAGTCGTGGTAGTACATCCTCTGTCTGTACAGTGCACCAAGATGTCCCCATGGGTATTTCACATGGCTTAAGCAACCCAAAGGGATGTAAAATACCACATTATAATTTAATGTGTGGATCATACAGTATCTGTGCTGTTGCAGTATTGGCACTTTCTGCATGTCCTAGACAAGGTCAGAAGCTCATTACAGCAATCAAATTCAAGCAAATAATCAATTTCGTCTACATCAGCTGCATTTTCCCTTAACTCTTCCTTTAGCTCTTCCTCCTCTCAAGCAAAAAAATGTTTATAAGCAACTATTTGATGTTAATGTTATTATTCCCCCATGTCTTACTTGTGCCCTTTCTATCTACACATTAAAAATGCAAAATAGTTTGCAGCCAACCTCTATTAACTTCTGAAAATAATCTGCAGTGACATCAGCTGAGATGTTGTCAACAGAGATTAATTAGATTGTATGTGCACAAACATTCAGATATACAAATATTTTACAGAAAAAAGAAGTGATTAAATTATATTTCCAACAAAGTGATGTATTTTGCATGACTAAGGATATTGTAAATTTATGCATTTGTTCAATTGTAAAAGTGTGCCATGCGTCACAATACTGTGCACTTTATACAGAAAAAGAAACTACATTTGAATGAGAGACTGAAAGAGAGAGAGAAGGGGGAGAAAAAACAAAGAACAAGAAATGGGAGAGAAAGAAAGAAAAGAAAGAAAAGAAAGAAAAGAAAGAAAAGAAAGAAAAGAAAGAAAAGAAAGAAAAGAAAGAAAAGAAAGAAAGGAAAGAAAAGAAAAGAAAGAAAGAAAGAAAGAAAGAAAGAAAGAAAGAAAGAAAGAAAGAAAGAAAGAGGAAAAAAGAGGACAGAAAGCAAGAGAGAGAGAGAAAGGAGGAAACTCAAGTACTCACAATGCTACCTGTCATCCCTGTTGATATATCTGTGCCTGCTCTGAAGAAACAGACTGAACTAATGAAAAGTCTTTCTCTAAGAATAAAGAGCATATATAATGTACATGAACACCACATTACACATAAATAACAAGAGATGTTTAAATAACTGTTTGCCACATTAGTCATTTGCTTTTTTGATCTTAACTGTTCAAAACCACTGATTTAAAATAAACTGTAACCATACCTTTCATGGAATAAGAAATCCTTCAGAAGTTTTTCAGTCCATTTCTAAACAGCAGTGAAAGCAATGAAATGCATAGCTAGCTGGGATCCAGTTCTGTGAATCTTGATCTTTAAAAGAAATAAGAACGCTAAGCAAGACACAACCTTTCAACTAGGGCAGCATTTGCAACTCCCTGAATAACTCCGCAACTTTTGCAAACTGAAAAACAGTTCCGTTCAGCATCATCCCAGCAGCTGGTTTCCACGTGACGTCAGCGCACGGAGGATGGTTTTAAAGCCATCTCTTCCAACCCCCAGCTCTGTAACTTTATATCTCTTCATATTTTGTGTAAACAACTTCAAGTCCAGGACATTTTTAGGTTTTACGGTGCAGTGCAGTCTTTAAAGCTTGCCAAAGCAGCCAGTGTTAATATTAAAGCTGTGACAATAGGCAATTTTAGGTTTCTTTTATTAGTGTCCATGTTGTAAAGGAAGATTCTTTGCTGCCTTCCAGACCCAGTTTTCAGAGTTATATTTGTTAGTATGATCATTTTGAGCTTTGCAACTTGATCCTCATAAACTGCTTTGTAAAGGAAGGTTGTCTAAAGCAGCAGTTTTGTTGGTTAGCAGCTCTCTTAAAGAGCTAAAAGCAAACCACTCCTCCCTAAAATATTTTTCTGTATTCTAAATATGCTATCCCTTAGGAAGTGCAGAATTATTGGGCACGGTGTAATGCTACTGTCTTGCATTCTGGGAATGGTGATGAAGGTTTCTCTGGGATATACCAAAATATTCCTGCTACTTTACAGATTTTCTGGATCAGATTCCCCAGTCTGTTAAGATACTTTGTGTCTCAGCAAAGCAAAGTGCTTGAAGTTGGATGGAGAATCTCCCTCGCACAGGGAAACTCATCCCTGGCATAAGACTAGCAAGGAAGGTCCAAAACCACCTCAGCCTGGATTTAAAGCACTGGGAGTGCCCATAGCAAGTGTCAGCATGGGGTGAGGGAAAGGAACATATGTGACAAAAAAGGTCCGGCAAGTGAAAGTCCACGGGAGACTCTGAAGCCAGCATAGTGAAATTTAGCTGCTCCCCCTGCTGAGCTGCAGGCAGGAGGAGCTCACCTTGCTCCTTGTGTCCCTGCCCACCACAGTATCTCTCTTGTTGCGCTACATGTCAAATTGCTCTCATTTGGCACGCCGAGAGACACCCCCGGGCACAAGTTTCACGCAGATACCACTGCTCTGCTGGGTACTTCTGCTTGAATGTCCCTGCGGACAGTGACCAAGACTACCCATAGTCAGCAGATTCACATTTCAGGGAACATTTGTCCCCATGTGTATCTGAAGAAGGGCCACAAAATACCTGATTCATGCAGCAGAAAACTCTGGACAAATTCTGCTATCAGATGGGTGTCTTCAAATACACTAAACAGGACTGATGTGTATTTTAATGGGAAGAGCAGCTGATGACAAGAGGATCAGTGAGACGAAGGACATGACACAAGGATTCACACATCCTTCGCTTACTCAGCAACTCTCCTCTTCAGAACAATAACGTTTTATCTGTGATAAATCCATGCACAGCATTAAGATTTTAGCTCTGGCTGCATTTTATAGTAAATACCAAAGCAGGTTTCAGGGAAAACACAGTTTTTTTTCCTTATACGGTCTAGCTGTAAGTCTCAGTGAATACATTACTTGGGTGCTTATTCTGCTCCCATGTAACATAAATAATGAGACTTGGGCTATTTGTGAAAATTTCAAAGATGATCTAAGAAGTGAACAAAGATGCTCAAGTACATGACTGAACATTCCTGGAGAAAATTTTCACCTCTGACCTCTGAGGATTTAAAAATTACCTGTTCATAAAGCTACAGTGTGACTTTCTTTTGGGAGGTTACGTCCCAACACACCAGCTGACATGGCTGGGAGAGAAGCCTGAGTGCTTGGGAGCAGAACTGAGCCCACAGCTGGAAGCAGGTGCCACAGCACTGCCTCCTCCCTGAAGCCAGCACAGCTGCATCACTGCAAATGAAGATGGACTCTGAAGACATATTTTTTTTATTCCTATCCATCAGCAGCACAGGCTATCATTTTTGCATATTTAATATTGCTAAGTGAATGCCCCTTGTCTTCTTACATGAACTCTTTGAAGTAAAACACAGTAAAATTACAGAAAACAATGGACTAAATCCCAAGCTTGAATTTTCACTCAGGCAAAATCCTACATTTCTGTCAGTGTGAGGAATTAGAAATATGGGAGACTGAGGGACTCATTAGGAGACACGAGCTGTCTTACACCCTTAAGTGCAGCAGTAGTGACTTTTGATTTTGGAGAAAAAAAGTTATCCAACAGAGGCTGCCGCTCCCCCAACAGCAGCAGACAAAGCAGCAAACATGGCTTTCTTGACTCTGGCACTGGCAAAATAAGCAGGAAGGCTATTGTAGGTTTATTATGTCCAACACACTGCTTCCACAGGCAAAGTGTACTTTCTTCATACCTGGTTATCAGCTCTGCTTGTGTTAAATGTCAGCACCCCAACAAAAAAGTAAAAGGGCATTTTAAATTTCTCTTCATCACGTGGGACTGAAGACAAAGTAGCATAATCTGATTACATACTCAGGGTAGTGTGTGTTCTGGTTAACAGTCTGCACTCAAGATCATTTTACAGCATCTTCACTTCTGCTGTACTAGCTTGGTCATGGCATGCTGGTTTTGCTGTGTCCACATAAATTTGGTAACAAGAAGGAAGAAAAACACTGCTGCCACTGTAATCAACCCAACCACAACATCAAATTCCTGAATGATGTTTCTTTTTACACCTCGATAATCCTGTCAAATACATCTCAGGAGTGTATATGTAAATCAGGAAAGGGGCAAAAGGGAATACAAATTCTGCCTCCTCTTACTGTTGTGCACTTCTGCAATAGTATAGAATCTAGTGGAGAAACAGAGCTAACAAAGTGTTATGTCATGTCACTTCTCCAAGGTTACATTGGAAATCGGTGGCAGATACTTTAGATGTTTACTTTAAATAGAGCCACTGTAATTTTCCCCATAGGCAACTGCATGTGTAATGGCAAAAGTTGGGTTTGAATATCACTTCCCCTGGCATTAAATCAGAGACAGAAATGTAAGCCAATGGGAATTATGTCCCTGATACTGATGCCTTTAGAAGTCTCCTACTCACCTATCAAATTCTGGGGTGATTAAGGGAAAGGGCATCTAATATCCTAAAGCTCTGCTTGTTTTTGTAAACAACTCCCAAAGTTCATGTGCAGTTCATCTCTTTTTATAACACATATTTAGACAGCCATGTTTCTGGCAATTTTCTATTTTCCGACTGCCAGGCATACTTCTGCACTATAGCACCTGCTCTCTTGTAGTTTTGATTCTGAAGCACTGGTGACATGTGTCAGCAGACACTTATTCTATCTCTAACTGGAGCTTCAGGCATGGATATTTTTGGTCAAAAGAAATATCTCTGATCCTGGAGAACTTCATTATTATAGTATCATGGGAATTTTTCAGTAACAGTAAAGAAAATATTTGTAGAGGTATTTTGTCAGGGCATTCAGAGCTGACTCTCAATATCAAACAAATTTAATGGAATTTATCTGGCTGCATTAAAGGAAAAAATGCATCTATTTTCTAAATGACATAAAGATTCATTGGAGTTACTGCCAATTGACACAAGTGTAAAAATGTCAGAATTAGTTCTATAGATGCAAGATCTCTTCTTTCTGAAAGAACATGGAATAAATTCCCTGGAAACACAGGAAACAGAAATTTAATCTTTCAGAGAAATGTAAAATTAAGGCAATCTTGGTGTTCAAATTCAGTGATATTTTTGACAGAATACTCCAAAATGGGAACTGTGAATCTGCTATCAGTACAACTGAGATTTGAACTGATAGGTAACCTGGTATATCCAGCTTGTTGATACTTAAAAGCAGAATCTTATGTTCTTATTATTGCTCTTCAGAATTAGATGCTATGCAGCAGAGAGAGTCTAAGGAATCAGCAGTGCTGTTTGGCTCTGCCCTGCCTGACTCGCACAGACGGGCTAGAGTATGTGGATGTTTTCAGCTCCATCTACTCACTCACCTGTGGGGTGGACTTTGCCCACCAGGCCAGTAACTGAGTGGGGAGAATCTGCTTCTTTTCTTGGCAAGTATAATCATGCATTTCTTTGTGAAGGTATTTAAATTTAGCAAGACACAGAACACTTATTTCTTTGGATAGATGTTATCCTCTGGCTATGAATAGATGTCCATACTGATTTTATTAACTTTCTCAGCAGCTGTTAAAATAGTGAAAAATGGAGGGTTGTGAACTTCTCTGTATTATCTGGTGTGAAAAAAATAAGCAGCTCCAATCACTCCCTTCAAGCTGAATGCGGAAGGACATCAAAAGCACATCTCATTTCTTATTGAAATTTTCCTATACTGAGGTTTGCAGGGTCCTCACCGTTTTTCCTGCTCATCACAAATTCAAACACTGTAGAGAGCTTCTAAAATTAATTTATATGCTTTGGTATGCTTTAATTTCAGATGGTAGCCTGTGCAATAACTCCTTAAATGTCCCAAAAGGTCTCAGTTTTGATTTGCTTTGTTGTTGCCTGACAGAATTAGGATGAGGAAAGCTCCAGCTATATGCAAGAAAAAACACTGTGAGAAATCAATGAGGTTATAATTGCCAGTCCTGTGCAGAGGTAATATCCACCTTCTATCTCAAGAGGTTCATCCTCACCTTTTCTGATTCCTGAGAAAGAAGACAATCTTTTGCAGTTACTTCCAAGATGTGTGCACTGTATGAATTCAGTGTATTAAACTTTCCTACTACTTTACAGTAGTACTGTTACTGATACACTCAGTGTAAATCAAACCCTCTCTACTCATCTTGTTACAGACAAGGCTGAGAAAGGTATAAACAAGTGGGGGTTAAAATCTGAAAGCCCAGACCTTCAGATCAGATTTAAGTAGGATTTTTTCTCTTTTATGGGATTGAGTGAGTAACATTTAAGAAAACCCAAATGATCTTTTCTTCCCCCAAGGGAAATACTAAAATAGAAAGAAACTCAAAAAGTCAATCTCATGCTAAGATTTGATATGACAAGTTTAAACTTCAAATTATTATACTTTTAATGTCCAAATTGCAAATCCATTGGGGGGGGAAAAAAAAAATTCTCAAGCAGTTGCTGAAAAATTTCTTACAACAGCTGCTGAAAGGAAAGCAGCAAAAGGTGATCTAAGAACTATCTTTACAGTTAGAGAAACTCACTGCGAAGTGATGATATACCTAACCATATCTTGGCATAATAGTTTCTAATATGTGGAGCTTAAAGTAGAGCAGCTTAGAAACTCCTTAAAATTACTTCCCCTTTAATCAGGACACCAGGCAAGGCTATCTATTACTCTCACATAAATTGATTATAATTTCCTTTAGACATATCTTGCTAACTACAAAATAAATAACGACAACAACATTCCCTGGTAGGAATAACTATCTGGATTAAATCAAGGTAAAGTAATTTAACTGATCAAGGTTTCTACACCTGCAGAGTATGCTGAGGGAAAGCCAGACGAACAAGGAGAAAACCACAAGTTTCATTTAATACTGAATATTGTGAGTTTACTGTTTGCTCATTTTCATAAAATAAATGTTATTGCCCAATCTCTTCTTCCCTCTGAGAGGTTTACTCTCAAAATGGTGTCTCTCCCCTATTTCAGGTAGCAGAGCACAGTCCAGGCATGGAGAAAAATTGTTCTCACCAGGGAATGGGTTAGGTGAACAGAGCGCTAGCATGATAAATCAAAGGGAATCCTTATTGCCAGCTAGAAAAAGAGCTGCTTTACTTATTACCACTATTTATTACTGTATTCTTTATTATGGTATCTGCACCAAAAAAAAATCTCACTTGTAAATGATCACCTTTGGAGAATTCACATTTGTGGGACTCAGTGGTTTCAACATAGGTTGAATAAAACAGAAAGGAAACTGAGCTCCATTGGGCATTTCAGATTATGTTTTCATAGTGGAGATGTACTGTTTGTAGGAACTGCCTGTGTTCAGTGTGATAGAAAGATCATGAGTCACCTGCGCTCTCAGTGCAGCCTCTTGTAGGCAAGGCAGGAATATTCAGTGACTATTGATGCAGACATATGTACACAAGCTTTCCTCACCTACGGTCACTTGCTACCAATGGCATGGTTAGAAGGGGTCACACTCAGCAAGCCAAGAGTTACCATGTTCGTTCAAAACTTGTTCTGAAACCAGGAGAGAGAATCCAGAACCCTGGTGGCTACAGCCTGGAAAATGGTATCTGAAAATCTAGGTTTGCTAGGAAAAGATATTTGACATCAGACAAGGTGTCTAGCATCACTCTCTTCAGTTCAAGTCAATGCAGCCAGCCTACATCTCTCAGAAGACTCCTCACCTACTCTGATACTGCCTCCTTGTGTATCTCATTCTCACGGGTACCAGCTCTTTGCCCCACTTACAGATATAGTGCTCTATATACCAACCATTCTGATTTTGTCCCCTCTGTGGTGTCTAACCCACATAATAAAGTGCTGAAAAACATTGTCACAAACACACAAAATACATATAAGCTGTGACATACACTTGCAAAATACACATCAAATGTGGTTTTACTATTCATATGAGGCTAAAATACAAATTCTTTTTCTGGGAGTGGGAAGAGGAAAGGAATAGACTCCTCACACCCACTCTGCAGATTTCTGTTTTGCTTCTGATCTGGTGCAAATTAATGAATATTAAAGTGGTTCCAGTCACTCAGGAAATATTTATACAAAAATGCTATAACCAGATAAAGGGAAAAATACAATTTTCTGTTCACTTACCTGTAACACCGTGGTGAGCGGGTTTCCTATTCAACCGGGTGACTTTTTGGTATGTTTTTTGCAGGTTTTTTTGGTTTGGTTTTGGTTTTGGCAAACAAGTAGTCTTCAGTGTTTTTACAGCAGTGGCTATTACAGAAACTATGTCTCTCACACGTCTTATCTTGGAGGGTGGACAAAATAAACAAACTGAAAATAATACTACAATGAACAGTAAATGATGAATGGTTTACAGTACAAAAAACAGTGTAAAGAGGAAGACAAGTTTAAATATTGTTGTGTATGAAAGGGATGAAAATAATACAAGGATGAGAATAAGTAAAATGATAGGCTGGAACATCTGGGAAAGTAAATACAAAGACAAAGAGAACAGTCAATTAATGGAATAGCAAGTCCAAAGGCTCAACAAAACAAATAGTGAATCAGACTATGCTTATGGAGAGATCAAGTGCCCACCTCCCATTTTCTTCAGTAAGAGTTCTGCATGGTCAAGCCCTGAAATATCCAATTTAACTACTGCTGTTATTTGTTTAGAGAAAATATGGATTAGTTTGCTTTAAATTTGTATAAATCCATGCAGTGCTCTGCCTTTAAGCTAATGGGAGCTCTACAAGCTCAGAGCTATTGCTAGATCAGAAAGTGAGCATGCTAAATGCCGTTTCTGTTTGATTTCATGCAATACATGTATAGTAATTGATTAGCTTTAAACTCACTGCGTCTGTGACTTTCTGATACAAGGAAACAAAAGACTAGTTAGTCAGCATAGGAATAAGAAATAATATCTTTCCGCTTCACCTGACAACTACTTTAATTGTAAACTAGCAGGACAGCACAAAGTAAATTAACACAGCAAGAGATTTACTAAATCATTGGATAATACCATGAGCAATAACAAGATTTGCCAACTATAGGACTGCATGATAAGATAAGGGTAGGTAATTTTCATCTTTCATGGCAGAAGATCTTGAGTCAGCAAGGAATTTGCTCCCCAAAACCTCTCTGGAACAATTCTGCATAAAAATGAACTACAGAGAAGACGCTAGTCACTACTGCATGTAAACAGTGGCCCATAGGCTTTCAACAAGATACAATCAGTTACAGCAATTCCAATATTCATACTACCTATAAAGAAGATTTGCATGGTTTATTTTTCTCTGTGGTTTGTCATATTCTCTATAATTTTGGAAAATTAATGTTTCCTCCTGTTTAAGATTAACAAGATTTTCTTTTAATCCATTTAACAGGAACCCAACCACTAAGAAAACAATCATGTTCACTTATGTACCAAAAATGCTGTCTGCACTGCCTTTACTGGTGATGAAGGCACAACTCTGGCAAATGCAGTTGCAAAGCCAGAAAGGAGTAAAATCTTCCACCTCCTAGAGCATAATTCTTTTAATTTCCAGGAGATCAGACATAATCACTGTTCACAAACAGCCCCATGGGTAGAACAAGGTTTCATATGGCCAAATGAGGATTTAAAATAATTTAAGAAATAGCGATTTTTGTCCACTGTCTAAAATAAAGGATCTTCATGTGCCATACATCCAATTTGTGGCTTAACTCATTTGGCAGAGCCTTTTTACCTGTAGGCCGTAACAAGTAAAAGTCTACCTGACTCACTGACAAAGGTTCATCTGCACTTCGATCATCCGAAGACTTCGGAACTTCGAGTCTGTCGATGAAAGCCTGGAGCTCTTTCCTGAAGGCCTTCATCTGTGCGTTGATCCGGTAAAGAAGCTCATGCTCGCGTATTCTGCTTCCATCGTCTTCCTCATCCATCAGTCCAAAGAGGTCCCCATTAGCTACATAAATTCTTGCCTCTGTTATTATGGTGCTCGTGTCAGCAATTAAGCGATCTATTGTCTTGCCCAGCCGCTCAGCTTCAGAGCGAATGTCCTTCATCTGCTGCCTGTCAGTGAAGCTTTTCTGCCACCCAGACGGTGGCGGATAAAAAGACCTTGTGGGTGTCAGGCACCGAATGTTGCGGACCTCCTCAGAGTCGCTTTCTCCACCGATGGGGCCTTCCCTTTTGCGGTGAGGGGGGCGGGAATCGTCATCGCTTTCTTTTTTCCCTGCATCACTTTCTGCATCACTGTCTCTGGGACTGCCACGGATCCCAAGATGAGAGGCCAAGTCATAGCGTTGCATGTTGGACATTAAGACTCTGTTCTCATACTGGAGTTGCATTACTTTGCCACTCAGCTCATTGATCTGCATTCGTGCAGCTTTTAGCTCCTCCTGTAATGCCTCTGTCTTGGCATTATCATGGTGCCTAGAGCTCTCATGGGCCCCGGACTTGTACTTGTATTTGTTCAGCTCGGCTGTTATGCGCTTGTTCTGTTCTTCCAAATCAGCTAAATTTCTCCTCAGCAATTCCGTTTCATCTTCTACTAGCTGCAAATGCTGTCGTAATTCTGACAGGGATTCACTCTGCTCTCCCAGGAGTGGGTTAGCAGTCCCTGAGAAATCATCTCCTCTTAAATCATCAAGTTCTGCTTTCAGTCCTCTATTTTCTACTTCTAGTTCCACTATTTTCCTCCCAAGAATGTTAGCTTCCTCCTCCACAAGTCTCAATCGAAGCTTGAGTTCAGCTTCTCTTGTGGTAGGTGGCCCACCTGCTTCACCTTTTGGTAAGGGACTGTCCAAATCCCCATAAAACGATCTATATTTTTGCAGCTCATGTTCAAATCTGTCTTTCTCTTTATCGATCTTAGCCATTTTCTTCCTCATCAAGGCTGCTTCTTCTTTGACAAACTGTAGCTGGCATTTCAGGTCTTCATTGTCCTCCTTAGAAAAAAGAAATAGAAGTATTTGAAGAAACTTGATGTAAAACAGGAGACCTCCAGTGGATGGTCTTAAATTACAAGATTAACAATCACAGGTACACAGCTTTAGATACTAAGAGATTTTCCTGCAATCATTTTTTCACTGATCAATAAATTAAAGAAAGGGAAATAAATATTTAAATTTAAAAGAAGGGAAAAGACTATTTTACTTGTGACTAAAGTTTACACAGTCCCCAGAAAATACATTGTAGGGGTGAGGACCTTGTAAAAAATCACAGAATCACAGAATCACAGAATGTTGGGGATTGGAAGGGACCTCAAGACGCTTGCGACATTGTAATAGACTTTATAGTGTTCAAAAACCCTTAAGACAGCACACAAATGGTCTATAATCTCATTTCACTGGTGCTCCCATTTACTTATTTTGTGTAAACTAGAGAGTACATGAAAACTGGTGGGTTCTGTTGCAGCACTACCTGTTTGTTTACATGGTCCTTGTCTGACTGCAGATCTGGGGTAAGAGCTCTCTGTTTCACAGCATACAGGAAAACAAAGAGCAAAGCAAACAAGCAACTAAAGTGCAAATCTACAAATCATGTACATAATTTTCCACACAAACTTAAGGAAAAACTTCTTTACTGTGAGGGTGATTGAGCACTGGGGTAGGCTGCCCAGAGAGGTTGTGGAGTCTCCATCTCTGGAGATGTTCAAAACCCGCCTGGGCGCTTTCCTGTGCAACCTGCTGTAGGGAACTTGCCTTGGCAGGGTGGTCGGACTAGATGATCTCCTGAGGACCCTTCCAACCCCTGTGATTCTGTGATTTCCATAGTATCCCTGAAGCCTCCACATGAGAGGAGGCTATTGCTATTCCAACATACCTCTGTTGGTGTCTGCTGTGACTTCTTTTCAGATTTTGGTAGGTCTTTGCTCCCTCTTCTTTTCAGTGATTGCTGCAACAACAAAATGAAATGCACTGAATATTTCACTGAAGAGGTATATAGTTCAGTCACTCTTTTAAAACATAGCAACTATAAAGGAATTAATTTCTTGTAGTCCTCGAGATATAGCAAATACAGAGGGAAGATAGAGCTACCCAAAAATGGCACAGCAATGTTATACAAGTAAAGTACTGGTTTAATCAGTCTGTTACCTTCTTAATTCAACACATTTAAAGACTAGTGCATAAGGAATGTTCAACACATGACAAGACAAGTAAGAAACCAGGTATCCCAAGTGGTAACTTACAGATGGGAAAGCCGAGGCAAGCAATGAAACCTAGCTTCAGTCTCGCCCATTTGATACTAACCCTAATGGGGCCAAGGCACTTAAAGATGCATCGAGGCAGACATGTGGCCTTAGCCTTTGATGCTAGGCAAGCTACATAAAACAGTGTCACTGAGATTGCATCAGTTGACTTGAGTGTACATCTACAAGCACACCTTTCTCTGTATCCCACCCACAGGCTTCAAGCTTGTAGGGTATTGCGGTCACACTTCTGTGGGTGTACACTGTAGACAAACTCTGTGCAGACAAACTCACACATACATCTGTTTTGTTCTGTTTTCAGAACATATTCAAGGAAATACAATTTAAACCTCCTTGGAGTACAAAGCCCTAGTGAGAAACAAAGCACATTAGCTTAGGAACAGCACCACACAGACACATGTATGCACCACCATATGAGCAAGCTTCTTTGGTGTCTTCTCATCTGCTATGTAGCCAAAGTGAGTAAAAAATAAACTCTTGCTTTTCGAGCAGGATGCGCTGGGATTGAAGCCTCATAGCATAGCCAGCAAAAATCCTGTAATTGCTGACAGTAGAAAGTTCATTAGTGGGTAGCAGTGGAAAACAACTGCAACCATCCTGCTGTCAACACTCAATATAGATGATCAGGAAAACAGCAGGAGAGAGGAAAGCAAGTGAGAGAATATGTTAATACATAACATCCCACTTGCAGCTGTTCCTAGTTTTTATGTCCCCAGGTAAAATGCAGGCCCTGAGGCAAGGCAGTGATACAACCAACACCATTTCCCTTTGAGATTATTCTCTGGTAGAAGGACTCATTGTGCTGTTGAGAAATATGCATTTTCCTGCACCAGCCAGGGGAGAATCCAGCTGTATCTAAAAGCCACCCAGTTCCATACAGCAGAAAAAATATGTTCATAATCCTCAATGAACAGAGTAGAGTGGGCGAGCATGCTACACATAATGATCCCAAGCACTATTCGCCTGCTGGTACCAACTGTTCTTTTTCTTCTGCAGATCATCCTCATAACAGTTACTAATCTTGTGGACTGCTCACTCCAAAGGAAAAGTCAATGCCATAGAAATGACTCATGTATAAATCAGAACAACCACAAGAGATGATTTCCCATGAGGCTTTTTGCTCAAATTCACTGTAGAGTTATCTAAGAATTAAGAAAAAATACCTCAGATTCAGAATCAGAACCAAAATTCACAGATGGATCCACCAAGAACCAGAATTAAAATTCTGAAGCCTCTTGCAGAAACACTGAATGCTCTCAATAGACAAAACAATAAACCAAAGATCATTAGCATCTTAGCTGTGATAGCTGCATAGCTGTAAATCACAGAATTCTAAAAGAATCCAGAAAAGACACAGAAATATAGTTAACTCACTTTTTCCTTTTAAAAATAAAACCAACAACTTTGGGATCCAGTCTACAAAAAACCCACTTCTTCTCCAGGGTGATCCATCAGTTATCCTACTGCAGAAATGGTATGTGCATGTGGAAGGGTTTTTTTGTTGGTTTTCTTTTTGAATTGGCAAATTTATAAAGCACTAAACTTTCAAAGGTGCAGCATCCTACTATGCACCTACGTATTACCACTGATTATACCACTATGTATTATCACTTTGAAAAACCCCTTTTCAGATTATTTATCACTGCAGACTTTTCCTTGCACCAGATTCTTGCCAATGCCACCCACTGATAAAATAACTAAATTAAACTGTACTTCTGCTTGAATATCTAAATGCCTTCTATTCACTGTGCCGAGCTCAGCATCTTCCCAGATATAATGAGGTTCTGAAATGCTGAGCTGCAACTCATTGTGTACTCTACAACTTTTCAGAAGCTAAGTTATATAAAAAAGTTTCCCACAAAAAATAAAAAGGAGAAACTACAGAAGACAGCAAAAAAATATTTTTAAGGGTTTGACACAAAATGAAAAATCCATTTTGCTCCTTTATCTCAAAATCTTTTGTGTTAAAGTTCCTCTTGGTAGTCAGGATAGCAACATTTTAATTACTGCAATAGTTGTGTCTATACAGTGACTGGGCACTACTTTCTGTTACATTCTACTTGAATGACAACAAACTATCCATGGAGCTTGTATTATTCACCAAGAAATCACAGTGTTTAGCAACACAGTGTTATAGCAGAAAGCAATGAAGAACATGCAAAATTCAATTAGCAGGATTATTTGGGTAAGTGGATTAGGCCCAGCTGGAATTGGTATGATCTGTTTTCTTGTGAAAAACACCATGAGATAATTTCTGATCACGAGAGGTTAAGATGTCACCTGCACATCTCAGCTGACAGATGACATCTGCAAAATCACAGTGCCCCATAACATCATGTTAGGGCACTGAGGCAATGCTCAAACTGAACAAAGAATGCCCCATATCAAACAGTATATTCTGCTGTAAATAACACATTTTTGAAAGTTTTTTCAGAGGTACATTTCACAATTTACAGTGGCTACTCTTTATAACATTTTTCTCAAGCCCTGTACTAGTCCAGTCTTCCGATTGAATTTTCAGTGTTAAACAATGTATTGCTGATAATGAAAAGAAGTATCAAAACAAAACAGAAAAAGGAAAACAAAAGTTCAAATAAACATATGGCAAAACAAAAAATAGCAACCCAGACTCCTGCAAGTGAATCTTCATATTATCCTTGCATCTGGACACTATTAAAACTGTCTTCATATGGCTTGTTTTGACATACTAACAAATGTTTCGCAGGGCCAGTGAGTGAGTCAGCCACCTTCCTGTATTAAATTTGTTTGTTCAAAAGTTTTTGTGTTTAATCACCTTTTAATATAATTCTCCACTCATTGATCCTTTTTCCATCTCACAGTGTACCACAAAACATACTATAGGGCCACTAAAAGCCACCTCTGCTGTTTTCTCAACTATAGCAAAAAAATCTGCCCCTCATATTCTAGAACTGATTTTGAGTCTGTTGTGAAGGATAATTTTTGGGCTCTGATAATTCTTCTTCTATATAATTTTAAAAATCATATTCAGTTCACACTATTCAATGATTATGAGTTAAAAAAAGACAAAGGTAAAAGTGCCAAACTTAAGACTGCTTTTGCACTATCTGATCAGTAATGCTTACCAGACAGCTTTATGGTTTTAATAACCTTGAACCAAGTTACTCATCTGCAGGAGAAAAGAATAAGCAAAAACCACATAATAGTGTTTCTACAATGGAGGGTTTGCTAAAGTGCTCAAGTACTAATGAAATATTTCAACAGCACTAGGGACAGTAAGATCAGCAACCGGGACATGTACCACTACATTGTATAATCTCTGCTTACCTCTGAAAGACTAGGAGGTAAACCTGGTTTTGACCTGACCATTCTAGCATTCACTGTAGCCAGCACATATGGGGCTGCATGTGTGTTCTGGCAATGCTGAGAAGTTTCCACAGTCTAGGTAAGACCACTGATAATGGTCGTATTATATGCACACTGGATGACATGCAATGGAAAATTCTGTTGCAATATTCAGCAGCATCAATTTTCCGGCGACCTTCACTGGAGTTTATCCAATGTCTTGCTGGAGATGCTAAGCACTTCTCAAGACAAGACCAGATGGTATAATCCTTCTCTTGCCAGCCCTAAACTGCAAGCCAAATGTGCAGTCCTCACATCACCTGTGACGCTCAGTGCTTCTCGGGCATAAAAAGACCTGAAATCTACTCTGAGAATAACACAATGCAAGAATAATAGCATCACACTCCACTGAGTATCAAAGCCGTAAAATGAACTCAAATTCTCACTACCTGATCCAAAGCTACAGTAAATCTCTCTGCAATTAATAAAGCCCTAAGCAAAAGATACCAAGATTATTCAAAATGCTTAGGTTTGATTATTTCAAGCCTGATCTGGGAGTATGTGATCTAAAAATCAATGTAGGCAACCACAGAAGGAATTCCTGACACATCAAGGGATTTATGGATGAACAGCGCTTCTCCCTCCTCACAGAAAAGGCTAAGGTAAAGGGCAGGCAGCTTCCTGAACCACCACAGCTGCAACCGAACCTTCTCATCTGCACACAACTGCACTGCACACAGTTACAGTTAGCTGCCTCCCAAATGCTGTGACAGATCTGCAGAGCTTTCAAAAATCACAGCAAACCTAAGATCATCTTCACAGGCTTGAAAAGTCATTGAATACTGAACAACTTCTGTGCTGCACAAGCTTGTCTCTGTCTAGCACAGAGTGACTATGACCAGGGAAATGGAAATTTGCCCTAAGACTCTCTCTGCATTTTCTCTTCAGTCGATATGGCTGGTTAGCTCACGGAGCTGGATCAAAACAGATGCAACAGATTTTTTTTTAGTTTACTGCCACTGACTCTAATTGAATGTACTAGAACATGCAGTAAAAACTAAATGGACACTATCCATGTTGGCAAATTGAAAATCCACATTCTCCTCAAAAAAATTTTTGTTCTTAAAATGTCTCCCTTATTATGAGATATATTAGTGCAATTTGGCAGCAACAAACACAAGACACTGGCTTTGTCTGTCATTGGCACAAGTACATAGAATGATACAACCCTCTACTCCTTCTACCCCACTTCAAGGGCAGGAGTCCTGAGTATTTCAGTATTCTACTTGCTTCCAAAATTAAGGCAGGAAAGAAAAAGCAGGGGATAAGTGAAACGCCAACAAACGCTAAACAAACACTAAGCATATTCCTACTAACTCTAGCAATGCTCTCTTCATATTAAAACTGGTGTATTTTAAAACACTGCTGAGGAATGATACAAAAGGAAAGCGATCTTTACTACTTCACCATAGAGAGAAAAATAGTTCTTATGTAGTCTTTTGAATGCGTTCATATTGCAGAAGAGAAAAGAGGAGTTGCCCTCCAAAATCTGTATTATTTCATTTGCATTTATTTAGGAGTTATTTCAGTTATCATTTTCAGATGTTTGCCGTTATTCACTTGCCAATTAAATTAGAAAAAAAAAGGAGAGAAAAAGATACACAATATTTGCACTTTACCTAGAGAAACCTCTTCCATTTCAATCCAAAACCACATTGCTACAGCAAATAATGATAATTCTGTGCTATATCTAGGTAAAAGTATTCTTTGCAATGCATAAAATGAAGCAGCACATTTATGCTTCCATTACATTTGCTTCCTTCTTTTTCTTATTTGAAAAAAATCCTGAGCAGTAGAAGATGAAAGCTGCCTTTTCAAAGCTCTCTATGTGACCTGGTTAAATAGCCAGCTGAACTCCGATACTTTGGTTTCTGTGATTACACTCTCCTTCATCCACCAGGATACCATAAAACAGTGGAAGCAACTTCTCTGAAGAGGAAGAGATCTCCTGCCATTTGAACCTTTCAAAAGGTGGAAGAGCTAGACATGGTTAGTCCCCCAGCACTATCCAAGTGGGCCTCATTATGGATGCAGAGATCACAGTCAGCTTACACTTGGCTCCCTAATCCCGAAATGTAAAAGCCAATCATCATGAATATTTTGGAGTGAAAGTGCTGGAATAAGGTATTTGGTTGCATAGTGATGCTAGTTAAACCTGCTTCCTAGGCTTCCTAAGTTGCTGTTTATTTGTCAGCTCAGCTATTTGTCTTTTTTGGGAGAAGAGAGTCAATCTTTTTGTCAGAGTTTGCACAATGCCTAGTACAATGCACTGTCCCAGTCTTTACCTAGGACTGCCAGTATGACCGAGAGTATGTCAACATAGTTCAAAAGACCACCACGTAACAATAGCAACAATCAGAGTCACAGATATAGATATGGCAATTATGAATTAAATACATAAGAGATTTTGCCAAATTTAAGAAGAGTTTTCTTTTTCACACCTATTATCACATGTAGAGTTTTTCAGTCTTCTTGGAAGAATATATCAGAAGAGATTTCAAAGAAATTTTCATGAGAATGGGAAAGTGCAAGCACTCAGATTAGGTTCACTGCCTGGGTTACAAAAATACATATATATATATATAAACCAAAACGTAGTTATCATATCCAAACAAAAATGGTTAGTCTGAAATGAAAAGTAATGAGAAGGAAAATAAGAACGATTCTGCACACAATGTGCACTCTGCACTGCTCACTGGAGATGCTTATAGAAGCCAGTTCTGCAAAATTGTGGGCTGATCACACATGTGTGCATTTGCATTCAAGCTCATTACACACTGAAAAGTTGTATTAAATGCACAGACAGCTCTTACAGTCCCTCAGATGGATTCACAGGGTAGGATGGCACCAAGAACATGCACATCTATGTATGTCTGTAGGCACACAGTAGAGAAAGGAGCTTTTCAGCTTGCTCTACAAGACTTTGCACATCAGACAACACCTCCAGTTACAGGGACAGCTCACCAAAAAATCAGATTTTAGAGTTAATATGAGAGGATAAAAAAATTGAGATTAATTCAGGTAGGAAAAATTCTGAAATCTGTACTTGGTATAGAAGCCTGAGCAGTGAGCACAAGACTTTCTGTTAACAGGGGAAAGAAATCCATCCATCTCTCACGTCAGCAATCACCAGTCTGTTCTCTGACTATAGGGAGAAGTCTTGTTTTACTCTTCATCTCTTCTTTTGTAGAACTTTTGGAAAGTTCTACTGTAAAGCTGGCCATTTGTAAATTGGCTGAAAAATATTTTCCATTAATAGAACATATGGGTAAATTTCAAGGGTGTTTGGGAACTTAGGTTATTGAAAACAGAGGATCAGACTCTGCAGTGCTCTGAAGTTATGCCAGTGTGATCCTGACACAAATTAAATCTAAGTTTTGTTGAGCAGCTCATGTAAAAAAGGTGCTCTGGAAAAATAAGCCATGGAGGCTGGAAGCTAAAAAGGAAAGAAGACATTTTAGCAGTTTGGACAACCCCATACCCATCTTTCCCACTCTATCTGGTACCAATCTGCTCTCCCATAAGCCTGCAGCCAGTGCTTTTCCTGGTATTTCTATCATGCAAAGATGGAGATAAGGGGAAGGAGAATTTTGCAGCACTGGTTAGAGCAGAGTGTCTAGCGACTCCATTGACTACAAAAGGCTCAGAGACCTGTGACTGGCCCTATGCCTCTTCCTTCTAAACGATGACTCTTCTTCCTAAATGAAGCTTGCTCAGTTTCTTAAAGCAAATGCTTATTTCCAGCAAGGGAAGGGGCTGTAGGTCTTAGGCTGACTTAAAATCTTCATGTAGAGGTTGACTTAAGACTCTTATTTAAAGGTTCTCTTTGTGAAGAATGTGAGAATCTCATTCTGAAATGGAGTTTGATAGACTTCAGCTTATTATAAATATTTGATCATTGGGATGCATTTTTAACAAGCTACCATGAATAAACATTCAACTCTTCAGTATTTATTGCAAATGTCACTGAACCAGTAGATCACCTGCAAATTAATGCCACAGCAGTCCTAACGGGGTTCCGCAATAATCAATTTTTAGTCCTACACTAATTAACATTTTTTGCTGCTGCCTGGGGGGAAAAAAAAAAAAAAAAAAAGGATTAAGACTGAAGAGAGAGTAAAGGTTGGAGAAATATTAAATACTGAAAAGGACAGTCACTGATACAAACCTTGGTGCAATCCAATAATATTTGTTTACATGTGACTAAATTTGAAGATACATGTGTAGGAACAAGCAGTGAAAGCTATGCTAAGATAAAAGGAAAACAGCCTACAGAATCCAGATCTCTTGAAAAGCCACATTGCTGAAACAGACTACAGGGTCATAGAGGATAATCACCTAAAATAATGTCCAAGTGTAATTCTGTGACCAAAAGGCTTAATTTAGTCCTAGGATGTGGATGTCAAAACTTAGGTTCACTGTGCAATAACTAGAAAGGAATGTGCCTCTCCACAGAGTCAAACCACTCTCAGACAAATGGAATAAATCACTTACAATAATGCCCATCTTTCTCCTCAGAGGGAGGCCAAATTCCTAACTTAGCTTAAATGCTTAATTTTTAGATGGCTAAATGATATCAAGTCAAAGCATGTAGATTTAAAAAACCAAACCAAAACAAAAAAACCACACAACAACTACAAAGCATTAACACTGGACTCTTGAATTTAGTGTGGTACTAAGAACATGTTTCCTAGCTGGTAATTAGCCTTCAGCAAATTCAGATGAGAAGCGAGGTGCAGATTTTAAACTGTTCCTGGGACAGTTCAGGAAGAGTTGTGGTAGACTGCTCTCAGCTGTCAATTTTTAACACAGATCAGCACTCTTTTTCTGGAAGTACTCATCAGTTTAAATAAAATAGTTGGGGGTATAATTCATGTTATTCAGGAGGTGAGACTGGCTGACTATATTATACAGTTCTGGTCTCATAATTTCTGAATGCATGAAACCTGACTAAAGTTTGTGAA